CACTGCAGTGGCCACACAAAACTCACAGATTATGAGGTTTATTAGGGAAGCACCAGGCTACAATTCAAGTTCAGGAAAAATGCTCAGTCTCTCTCCCAGCCCACTGTCTCTCAGCCAAGTCTCTCACAGTCTCTCCCCCAGCAGTGCATGTCTCTCGGTGTCTTACTCAGCAATGTGTGTCTCTTGCGTCTCTTTCCCAGCAGCACGTGTCTCTTTCAGGAGCATGTATCTCTTTCGGCAGCAAGTCTTCCTCAACCAGCAGTCAGAGAGAGTTCTGCCCCTAGGAGGCCTCCTTTTGAGCTTGGCAGAGTGGCCAAACCAACCAATCATAACAGAATTCTAAGCACCTGAGAGTGAGCCTCCCAAAACATTGTGTTGTGCAACGCCCAACAGAAATAACCCAGGTGGATAACATTTACAATCAGGAGCTCCTCAGTTGCTCATTCCACCACTGAGTTTACAATGACTTATGGGTAGAAAAGCCATACTAAGTAATTTACTACACTGCAGTGTGATATTTAAAATTTTTATTGTGATTTGGATGAAAGTTTACAGAGCAAATTCACTTTTCATACAGCAGCTCACATATACTTTGTCTCATGACATTGACTACAATTTCCCACAATGCAACAGCTTCCTTCCCACTTCCTCCCCATAGTTACCTCTTCCCTGTGTCCTTCCCTTCCATGCACTCCTGCCCCCTGAGCTGTCACCTTGTGTATACACAGCCCTTCTATTCTCCCATGATTGATCTCTCCAAGGAGTCTATCTACTAATGTAAATATTCAGCTCATATGCCTGTCTTTTGTTTGGCTGGAAGCCACAGGAGTGGGTTCAATTTCAGACCTGAAGGACAGCTGGGGGCCATAGTCTCAGTGGTTCCATCAGGCTCTATCAGACCAGCAAACCTGGTCCCCCACTTTATTTATTTTTTTATTAAATGATAGAGTTTTGTTCCACATTGTTCTCCCACTCTGTCCTTCTTCTATATAGATCCCCCTCCAAGTAGTTGACAGTGGTAGCCGGGCACCATCTAGTTCTGGTCTCACAGTCGTATAGGCTGAGGATCACATGGTGTACCAGTTGCTTGGAGTAATTGTTTCCATGTGTCTTTGGTTTTCTTCATTCTTCTTTACTCTGGACAAGAGACCCATTGTTGCATCTAGATGGCCGCTTGCAAGCTTTTAAGATTCCAGTTGCTACTCACCAAAGTAGGATGTGAAACAATGTTTTTGTGTAGTATGTTATGCCAACTGAGCTTGATGTCCCCAGTGACTATGGTCCCGAGCCCATAGGTGCAACTGTCTGCTCCCTTTGGGTACCTGGCTATGGCCAAGAAGTGACTACAACCTTGTCCCTTGTCAGCTCTACTGTATACCTGGGAATTCTTTGTATATTCTGCAGCTATACAAATATATTTGCAGAAACCTTGTCTGCCAACCCTGTACATGGTCATGGGTACACTCCCCCCTGCAAAGACATACCTAATAGTTTAGCCTGTCCACCCATCTTACCCACCCATAGATCAATGTTTGCCTTCACTGACAGCACAGCACTGTTCATGCAAAAGGGTTCATCTTTGTTGTCTGTACCTCCCATGCATCTCTCTATGTCTTCCTCTTACCCTTGTCTTCACCCAAATCAATACCCGTCTCTACCTATTTAAGTGTTCCCTCCCCACCCCGGTAACCAACAAAGAAAATTTCCTTCTATATATGAACCTTTCCTTGACTTTTTACAATAATGGCCTAATACAATATTTGTCCTTCTGTGATTGACTTATTTCACTCAGCATAACATCCTCCATGTTCATCCATGTTATGTAGTGTTTTGCAGATTCTATGTTATTCTTTATGGATTCATAGTATTCCACTGTGTGTATGTACCATAGTTTGGTTATCCATTCTTCTGTTGACAGGTACCTAGGTTGTTTCCATAGTTTTTCCTATTGTAAATATTGCTGCGATGAACATGTGTAACAAATATTTTTTGGGGTACAAAGTTCAACTCATGACAAAGAATAATAGAAGATAGTTTATAAGATGGCCCTATTTAAGAGACTGTTTAATATATTCATTTGAAATAATGTAATACTGATATTTAGTATTAAATAGGTTAACTGCCTGACCCTACAGCTCACTGGTATTACTCAAGCTAAGGTACTGAACAAAAAGAGATTACTTACGTGTGAACTCCATCTGATTTTCTCTGTTCAAAAACTAAAGTTTTACCCTCTGGGGAGGCAAGATGGAAGTCAATGTCTAATCCTGCTCCATCTAAAACCTGTGGAACAGCACAGAAGAGAAAACATATGTTACAAATCCTGAATATAAAAATTGCATAGATCCTATGATAAAAAGATTTTTCTTTATCAATGTATAGGGTTAAAGTCAACATTCCTGTTAGAACAGAAAGGAGCTAAAAGATCATCTAGTTCAATTCTACTCATTTTTGGAACTTGTTCCCTTTTTACTCATTCCTGTTGCCATTACCTACATTTAGGCTTCATATTTATCACTAAAATAATCTTACTAAAATAATGCCTTTGTTGAGAAGTGGAAAGAAACACAGAACAAAAAAAAGAAAACCCAAACCTATTGCCACTGAGTCAATTCTGACTCATAGCGACCCTATAGGATGGACCAGAACTGCCTCATGTGGTTCTGAATGCTATAAATATTTATGGAAGCAGACTGCCTCATCTTTTTCCCATGACATGGCTGGTAGGTTTGAACCGCCAGCGTTTTGGTTAGCAGCCATATGCTTTAACCATTATGCCATCAGAGCTCCAACACAGGCAGAGGAAAGTTTAAATGTGGCCCTATTACTTAAAATTTAGGAATTTTGGGGCATGCTACCTAACATTTCTGATTTGTTTCCTCTTCAATAAAGTGAGACTAATAATGAGCTAATTCTTAGCCTTGAATTCAATGCCCCCATGACCTGATTCCACCTGATTTCTCCAATACATTCTTTTACTACGCCCCGATAGGAACTGTCCATTTTAGGTAGGCTAGCTCACTTACTGGCCAATGAATATGATCTGTTCCTATATAATCCCAAAATGTCCATTTAATGATGATGATATAGTTCTTGGGTGCTGTGAAGTTGATTTCAACTCTTTAGCTACCCCAGGTGACAGAGCAGAACTGTCCCATAGGGTTTTCTTGGCTGTAATGTTTTTAGAAGCAGGTCACCAGGTTGGCTGCTGGGTAAGTTCAAACAGCTAATCTTTTGGTTGTGTTATTGTTGTTGTTACGTGCCGTCGAGTCGTATCCAGCTCACAGTGACCCCTGCTTGGGTTTCCAAGGCAGTATCACTACAGAAGTAGATTGTCCAACCTTCCTTCCGAGGAGTGGCTGGTGGGTTTGAACCGCCAGCCTTCTGGTTTGCACTCAAGTGCCTTAGCAGAGCTTAATTATTTGTGCCATCAAGACCCCCAGAGTGCATGAGAGTATGGACTACATTTTTACCCATCACTGTATCTGTGGCACTTAGCATAGTGACTGACACACACCAAGTACCCAATAATGATTTAGATATCTAAATGAATGGTTGGTTTCATTCACAAGATCTATGTTTTGACATTGAAAAATTTTTTCCAGAACTTTTATCAATACAACGCAGGGCTGGGGCTAGTCAAATAGCTAAAATGTCCTAAAACTTGAAAATAAATGGTTAGAATTTTTCAACATATCACAGTACCCCAGGGTCAATATTCAGATGTCTTATTTGACATTTAAAAAATGAACCTTAAGGCAAAAATTCACAACTTATTTTTACTAGAAAACTAATCATATATGCTCAGCAAATAATCCAAGAAGCTGAATTACAAGAAGAACAGCATGGCATCAGGATTGGGGGAAGACTTGATAACAGCCTGTGATATGTAGATGGCACAACCTCGCATGCTAAAAGTGAAGATGACTTGAAGCATTTATTGATGAAGATCAAAGACTACAGTCTTTAGTATGGATTATACCTCAACATAAAAAAAAAAACAAAAAACCAAAAATCCTCACATCTGGACCAATAAACATCACAGATAAATTGAAAAAGATTGAGGTTGTCAAGGATTTCATTTTACTTGGATCCACAATCAACACGCATGGAAGTAGCAGTCAAAAAAGTCAAACGACATAGTGCACTAGGCAGATCTGCTGCTGTCTCTCTTTAAAGTGTTAAGGAACAAAGATGTCACTTTGAAGACTAAGGTGTGCTTGACCCAAGCCATGGTATTTTCAATTGCCTCAAGCATGTGAAAGCTGTACAACGCATAAGGAAGAACAAAGAAGAGGTGATGCTTTTGAACTGTGGTGTTGATAAAGATTACTGAAAATACTGTAGACTGCCAGAAACAACCGAATTAGTCCACAGAGAAGTGCAGTTGGAATGTTCCTCAGAAGTGAGAATGGCTAGACTTCATCTTACTTACGGTGGTCATGTCAGAAGAGACCAGTCCCTGGAGAAGGATATAATGCTTGGTGAAGCAGAAGGTCAGCAAAAAAGGCAAAGACCCTCAACAAGATGGATTGACACAGTGGCTGTAATGATGGGCTCAGGTATAGCAACGACAGTGAGGATGGTGCAGGACCAAGCAGTGTTTTGTTCTATTGTACAAAAGATCCCTATGAGTTGAAGCTGACTCAGTGGTACTTAACAACAGTCATGGAGTTAGAAAACGCAAACAAAGGGTTGAAGATATCTCAACCCTATAAATCCCTCCAACACACCTCCAGTTCTTTAAGACTACCAAGATTAAACTACTTATGACTATTTCTCTCCTCAATCAAAACAATTTGTTTAGGAAAAATACTTTGGGAGAAGAGTCCCTTTAAAAACAAAGATGAAAATATAAAGCTAAACCAAGTTACATGTGTGATTTTTACATTATGAATGTGAAAGCAACATTTATTGAATACTTACTATGTATCAGGTATGGTTTATGAACATTTATAAACTTGTTTTTTCAAATTAACTCTATGTGGTACTTACTATTATTATCTCTATCTTACAAACGAAATGTTAAGCAACTTGTTCAAGATCACACAGCCAGTTAAGTGGCAAAACCATAATTTGTCTCTAGAGCCTGTACTTTTAACCATAAGTGCCCAATAATTAACCAACCCCCAAGTATGTGGGTAAATACTGAGTAATTCTTTTATTAAAACAAATTATTTTCTTATCTGAACTATTTCACTAAACCTCTAATTGGATTTTTGGCTCTAGTTTTGCTCCTCTTAAATCCATATTCCACACCATGCCCACTGATATAACTGAAAACATTTTTAGCATGGCTGTGATTCATAATCCGTGATCCAGCTAGCTGCCTGTGTTCTCCAAGCTCCTTTTCTGCTACTTCTATTGTACACTTTACAGTCTAATAAAAACTATTTGTCTACTATATACTGCCCAGCTCCCAAATACTAACACTGCATTTTCAGAACTATGTGTTTCTATTAATTTTGTTCCCTTTCCTAAAATGTCCCTCCTGCCTGCTGTTCCCTGTGTAACTTAAGTGTATTTCTAGACTCAACTTTAATACTTTTGATATTTTCTTCTGAGACCCCAGAGAATAGGTCTTCCTCTACTAGCACTTAATGATACTTTATTGAAATTTACTGTTTATGAGCCAAACCAAAAACCAAACCTACTGCCAACCACTCAATTCCAACTCACGGTGACCCTCATTGGGTTTCCTAGGAGGTAAATCTTTACAGAGGTAGACTGCCCCATCTTCCTTCCATGAAGTGGCTGGTGGGTTTGAACCACCAATTTCCTGGGTAGCAGTCAAATGCCTTAGGCACTGTGTCACCAGAGCTCTTTTGTTTACGAGCCAAAAGCTCTTAAATATTAACCTCTTTGACAATAGGAATTCTTTCTTTCCTTCATTTGTTTTTTCTTTCTAATACCATCCACAATTCCTGGCACATAACTGTTTAGTAAATGCTGAACTTTTGACCTAAACTAGAAATTAAGTCCTAGCCTCAGTATAGCTCACCATTTGATTTTAGATAAAGTACCTTACTCTCTGAATTTATGCACCTAATTCTCACGTTCCTTCCTGCTGAAAATACTATGTAACTTTTAATTTTCTTGTTATTAAAAACTCTACATCAACTTAAAAAAAGGAACAGGAACTACCCCAACACCTCTACTTTTTGGCAGCTCTACCTGATAACGTCTAAATCAGTTGTGTGGAACAAGATTTCTTCTAAGAAATTTTCTCTACCAGAATGGTTACATAACTTGAGGCATTTCCCTACAGACTATTAAGTAACTACCGAGAAGTTCTGGTGGCGCAGTGGTAAGCGCTCGGTCAAAAGGTCCGCAGCTGGAACCCACTAGCAACTAGGCAGGAGAAAGATGTTTTGGTTTGTTTCCCTCAAGACTACAGCTTGGGAACCATTGGTCAGAATCAACTCCACTGCAACATGGATGGTTTAAAAAAAAAAAAAAAAAAATTCACTGCTGTGGAGTCGGATCTGACTCATAGCGACCCCTCCCTCCTTGGGTTTGCGAGGCAGTATGACTACTACTCAACCGTCCTTTCGAGGAGTGGCGGGTGGCTTTGAACCGCCAGCCTTCTAGTTATCAGTCACATGCCTTAGGCACTACACCACCAGAGCTCCCTCTTTGGATATAGACACTAAAAAAAGAAAATAATGACATGAAGGAAACGCTTACAATGATGAGTGAAGGAAAAATTGTATAGTTACTACATGGTTTGGTAGTATTTGATTTAAAAATGACAGCCTGTAAAAGAAATGTACCATTAAACACAGCAATGCTACCACCCAATGCCACTGAGTCTATTTCAACTCACAGTGACCCTTTAGGACTAAATAGAACTGCCCATAGAGTTTCCAAGGCTGCAAACCTTTAGGGAAGCAGGCTGTTAGCAGCCAAATGCTTTAATCACCACAACTCCTCATGTCAATAAGAAGCCAGCAACCAAACTAAACTCACTGCCATCTAGTTTATTCCGACTTATAGCGACCCCCAATGGGTTTCCAAAGCTGTAAATCTTTATGGAAGCAGACTACTATCATATTGGTCTTCTGCAGAGCGACTGGTGGGTTCGAACCACTGACCTTCTGGTTAACAGCCAAATGCCTTAAACACTACACCACCACAGCAATAACAGCCCATTTCAAAACACAGTATTTCAAACTAGGATCTAGTGACTATCACTTGGTAACAATTTCAAAACCATCAAGTGAAAAAGAATATAACATCGGAACTGGGTGAAAGGGGTAGGGGTGATTCAAACAAGTGTCATCATCCCGTCAAATGATGAAGTAGATCGTGTATTAATCCTGTACTATTAAATTCCCAGTATCGGAGCGTGTACTGGCTACAAAAGCGATGGGTGTATTATGAAATACAGAGAAAAGTCATCGACAACACTAGGTCTGGCCTCTGTCCCACTCGAGGAAAGGGGAGAGGAAGATCGTCTCTAGGTCCCGCCTAACTTCTGGGTCCCGGAACTCTCGAGAGTCTCGCCCGCCTCGCCTCGCCTCGCCTCGCCTCGCGCGCCTGCGCGGAACGGGCTTGTTCCCCGGCGGCCCTCGCCTCTCCATCACCCTGGCCGTCCACATGAAGTTTCTAATCGGGTGAGAGGCGACGACACGGTGCAGTTTGGTTAAAGGAAGGAGGCTAGCTCCCTCTCTGCACTTACTTGGTACTCGATCTCCAGCGAGGCCTTCAGAGGCATGGGCTGGTAGAAACACTCCTTCTGGCCGGCCGGAAGGGTAAACGTGAAGTCGCTGTCTAAGGAGGGCGTGAAGCTGGCCGCCCCAGGCAGCAGCACTGGTGATACTGCGGCCAAGAGAAGCACAGGCAAGGGCAGCAAGATCTTATCGCCCATCCCTGCCGGGGCGATCCTGGGCTGAAAAGGCGTGGGAGGAGTGCGTTGTGGGTGTCTGGGCTCTGCTTTTTCTCCCTGGATTCCTTGTGGTTGGCAGAGAAACCTGGAGCCTGGAGAAATTCCAGGTGGTGGAGGCTACGGAGGAAGCAAAGGCTCCCTCCGAGTGGGCAATGCCGAGATCGAAAGTGCAGAGACTGAGGGCGGACCCAGAAGTCCCTTTCCGCACCCTCCTCTCTAGGTGTCCCTTCAGGCCGGGCGTGAACGCGCCCCGCCTCACACCCAGACGGCCGCAGGTTCCCATGGCTTCTGCACACCAATGGGTGTCTTGGAGGCGATTGTGGGAAATGTAGTTCCTGTCGAGCTACGCGAGGCGGCTCCGCTGCGCTTACCCGCCATGATCCCCGATAGGCCCCGCGCCTCCGAGTTGACTTACGCAGGGGGCGGGGTTGCGGTCCGGGAGATGCGTCCCCAACGGCTCCCGCGGCGGTTCGAACTTGGCGAATCCGGGGTTCGCAGATTATCGGCGTACTGTTTCTGATGCTTCCATGCCTCGGGCCAGGAGAGGGTCATAGCCTTCCCAGCGCAGACCCGAGCGCCGCGTGTGTTGTCTTCGGGAGGTGTCTCTCCTCAACTGCGACTTGGGTGGTGAGCGACTGCTTTTTGGCTGGTGGAAACCGGTCTTCCTGGGGTAGTTTTGTTTCTTTTCGTCTCGGCGCCTTTAGACAAAAATCACCTTCTATGGGAGCTCTGGTAGCATAGTGGCTAAGACACTTGCCTGCTAACCAGGCGGCTGGCGGTTCAAACCCACCAGCCACTCCTCGGAAGGAAGGTCGGGCAATCCTACTTCCGCAGTGATACTGCCTCGGAAACCCAAGGAGGGGTCGCTATGAGTCGGGGCCGACTTGACGGCACATAACAACAACAACATGCTTCTCCTGGTCCCAGCTCCCTGCTCTTCAGGGTTGTATTTTAGTTGTGGAGAAGTCGGAGAAGAGGAGATAATTTTTTCCGCCATTGCTTCTATTTTTACTGCTTTTTTTTAGATGGATATAGGATAAACTCTGTCAAAGTAAGCGTTCTTGAGACAGAACATACCATATAAAACTATATATCTCTTGAAAATACTGCAGTTTATCTTACTACATACGGGAGTGAGGAGATTATCCCTGTCTTTCAATGGGATGAGATGTTTGTGTATTGTTTCTACACCTAAGGAACTTAGCGCTAGAAACAATACACAAACATTGTTCTTAGGGCTAGAAACTGACATTGTCCAGGGCTGCCCATGGAATGATGTGCCTTTCCACATATATTATATACATGCAATCTAGATAGGTTTCTGCAACTGATGTAAATTGAATGGAAGAGTAATCTTAATTTGACAGTAAATGGCCCGCGAGGAAAATAACAATATTTGAATTGTAAGAGTATAAGAATCCTAATTGGTACTTCAGGAGCTCTGGTAGTGTAGTGGTTAGGCATTTGGCTGTTAATCAGAAGGTCGGTGGTTCAAACCCACCAGTTTCTTCATGGAAGACAGATAAGGCAGCCTGCTTCCTTTGAAATTTACAGCCTTGGAAACCCAATGGGGGTCTCCATGAGGCCCAACCGACTGGATAGCAGTGAGTTCGGCTTTTTGTTTGTTTGTTTAATTGGTACTTCAGAAGAGTTAGAGCCATAATTTACACTAAAATACGTGCAAGAGGTTGAAAATTAAGTCTTATTTAGATGGGAAAGATATTACTGGACTGCATTTTTCTTTACCGTTTTTTTCTTTCACAATCCTACAGGGAGCTAGTGATGTTGAAAAAATAAAGCAGGATGGGGACCTGATTCATTCGTTTTTGTCTGGGAGTGTCTTCTTAAAGCAGAAGCAAATTTGTGGAAGCAAAAAGGGAAAGAGAATACAACCAGTTTGCCTGTTAAGATCAATAGAGCATCTCATTTAATTTCCTGCCACAGTTTCTTCAAAGAAGGTGAGCATTTTCTTTCCAACTTTACTCATACATCTGAAAAATTTTGAGTGAGGAGTACATTTATCAGGAAGGGCAGTTTTGTAAGCATTTATTGATTGAACAAATATTTAGCTTTTTCCAAGTGACTTACGTAATACCCAGGACTCCTAACCTTTTGGAACTTGAGAGATGTGGTCAGAATTCTAAGAAAGGCAATGAAAGATGCTATAATGACAAAGGTAAATGAGATCTGAAAGAGGAATGTAATTTTAAGATTATGCAGAGAGATTTACAGGAATAAAAAGGATTACAAAGGCTTAGTTTTTATTAATTACAGTAATAAAGTTTGATCCTGCGTTTTTTTTTTTATGTGCAAAATGGTATTTAGTGTAGAGTTCACAAGCCTAGAGATGCATATCAGTTGAAGAAACAAAAGCTTTTCTTCCTATATTTCTATGAGTTGACCTGCTAAATGTCATTTTAATCTGTGGTAATAACATGTAAGTGTCTATGTTTTTAAAATTTTGTGACCATTTTGAATGGGAGAAGGGGATAACCTTTTTTGATAATAAATTCTCTCTGAGAAAATATGAATGATAGCATCTTATCAGATATCCAGAGTTTGTGACCTGATTATAAAAGTTCAAAAATTTCATGTTGGAACTGATATATAATAAACTGGAAAATTGCAATTTGACGTAATGAAAAGGTCTTTGGATCCTGAGCCTGGGTTCAAATCTTAGGTCCATCATTTATGTGACCTTGAATAAGTTATTTAACCTTTTTTAGTTTCTTCATCTTTAAAATAGAATTGGTACTTTACACAATTAATTGTGTGGAATAAGTAAGTAAGAAACCCTGGTGGCACAAGAGTTAAGCATTTGTCTGCTAACCAAAAGGTTGGTGGTTTGAACACGTCCAGCAGCTTCTCTGAGAAAGACCTGGCAATCTGCTCCTGTAAAGATTACAGTTTAGAAAACCTTGTAGGACAGTCCTACTTTGTCACATGGAATTGTTATGAGTTAAAAATTGACTCAATGGCATCTAACAACAACAGTAGGAAATGAGTAAAACTATGCTTAATAAGGGGGAACAATAATGATTAGAGCTTGGCTAAAATAATAACTTGATCCATTCAGTTTGCATTTAGAACTTTTTGTTTGGCTTTGTGCTTCAGAGAAACTTATTGTTACTGGTTTTTTGTTTGTTTAAGCCACCTTGAAGATTTCACAGCACTTGAAATAGAAAAATAATGAAGTGAATTATATTAGCTTGAGAGTATTTTGAATGATACCACAGAATCTTTCAGGCAAGGTACAAGAAATTAATTTCTTTTTTTAAGAAATGGAATCTAATTCATCAGACTACTATAATAAAGACAATGAAGAAGAAAGTTTGCTTGAAAATGTTGCTTCCTTAAGACATGAACTGAAGATAACAGAATGGAGTTTGCAGAATTTAGGAGAAGAGTTATCCAGGTAAGTAAGTAAAATCACACATAGGATTCAAAGACTTTAAAATTTTCCCTTATTATATCTTGTGTTTCTAATATGCCTCTAAAATAAGAATAATTTTTCAATAACATTAAATATAACTGAGTTTAGGAAAAATTTAGGAATATTAGAGAAGCACCTTTACTGTATATTAGAATATGTTAGAAACAACTTTAACATTACATCTCAGGGTATAAAATAAATGTTTTGAGCATAGTTAATCGTATATTATTATGACTTTTTTTATTCATAAGTAATTCTAGTATAGAAGTGCTAGAAATACATAGATTGTTAGTTTAAAACTAATTTTGGTTTATTTAAAAATTTAATGGAAACATTAAGTTCATAACTATGAATCTCATTGGTTCCAGCATTTCAGGTGCTTTTCATTTCAGATGTTTTTCTTTTTATTTTTTTATTATATAGAGATTTGTAGTGAATAGTTAGACTAAGAACTAAAATACATTTTTTTCCTTTTTTTCCTCTAGTGTTAGTACAAGTGAAAATTCCGATTACACTTCTAATCCCTCAAGGTTTCAAAGGCTCATTTTGGAAGATCTTGCTCAGCCTAGCCACCCTGGACATTTGAATTACTCACCTTATAAAAAAGTTTGTAAACTATCCAGTGGCAATACCGATTTTCGTAAAAAGCCAAAAGATAAGGTTATTGTTTTTAGACCTGTCTACTTAAAATGTTTTGTCTTAGAGTGTTTTTTGCTAATTACCTTACTCATTTTCTAAATAGTCTTTTTCTATGATGCTAAAGTTTTGTTGAATTTAAATATCGTAAGTCCTGGGTTATTGACATCCAACTAAAGGACAGCTCCTACTTGCCCTTTAATGTTTTGTAAGTTTGCCTTCACTTTGAAAGGACTGAATCAACCCCTATTTGCAACAAATTCTTCATCACAATCGCCTTCAGCTGCATGTGCAGCTTTTAAACCTATGAAAAAGCTTTGAGCCTTTTCTTGCACTAAAAACCCGCTGTAGTTGAATGGATTCTGACTCATAGTGACACTATAGGACAGGGTAGAACCGCCCCAGTCACTTTCCAAGGCTATAAATCTTTAGGGAAACAGACTTCTTTATCTTTTTCCTGCTGAGCAGCTGGTGGGTTTGAACTGCTGACCTTTTGGTTAGCAGCTGAATGCTTTAACCACTGTGCGACCAGAGATCCTTGCACTAAAGTCAGGAACCTGTCCTGACTTCCCTACAAATTTGACTTAAAGTTACATTTAGGATTGGATCCCGTTTGTAAGCTGAGGACCGCCTGTATGATTGTCCTTGTTGCTTCCTAACAAGAATGTAGTGATCCTGATCTATCACTATGTTTTCAGACTTCTGTATTTGTCACTTTTTTGCAATGGATGTCTTGTTTTCTCCAGCAAATTATAATCCCTTGATTTTAGCACTATATTCCATACATGATAGGTAATCAGTTATTTATTGAATAGTTAAAATATAGCCATTCTTAAGGCTGGATCAGGTGCTGTGTGATAGCCCAGTCATCTTCTTTAATTCTCTCTAAGTTTTGTAGATGATGTTAGACATCTTTTCCTGGTCTGGAACTCTCTCCTTATGTCTCTCTTTCTCTCTTATTCAGTTCTGTTATCTATCTCCTCATATTTAATCCCTCTTCCTTACTCAACTGTTTTATCTCCTCCATTCTCTTCTTTCTGTTCTTTATCACTATGTCCCCAGTACACACAGGTATGGTTTAATATAGAAATATAGAAATACAGATTTATTCTTCTCACTGTAGACAGCTTGCTATTGGGAGATTTTCTTTTAGTAAGGAACTTGCTTAATGAGCCTGCTTCAGACTGCACTTAAAAAATGAATTTAAATTCCAGGTGTACAAAGAATATGGAATTCTGGGAAATTTGATTTCATTCTTATTCAAATTGCTGATCATTGTTTTTTGTATGCCTTAGTTAAAATCATTGCATTTTACTATAAGCAAAATCAAATCAGAAAGGGCAAATTGTGGAATAAAAAATATTGGTAATGCCTATCAAGGAAAGAGCCAGTCTCCCTGGTCAATAGAAGAGCTTCTAAAAGTGAGAAGGAAAAGATTAACAACCCAGTAGAAAAATAGGCAAAACACATGAATGGAAAAAGAAATAGTGATCTTCAAACAAATGAAAAATAGTCAGTCTCATTCATAAGAGAAACTCAGAATTAAATGGTACTTAGACACCGGTATCTTATACATCAGATTGTGAAATGTGGAAGTTTGATACTGTATTTTGTTGGTGATGTTGTGTGGAACTACATTGCTGATAGGAATGCAAAATGATACAACCTTTAGGGAGAGGCATTCAGCAATATTTGCCATAATTATAAATATACTGTTTCCTTTACTTGGAAATCCCACTTCTGGAAGACTATCCTACAGGTACACCTATACAAGTACAAAATGAGACAGCATTGTCTATCATAATGAAAGATTAGAAATAGCTAAAATGTCCAGTAACAAGATTGGTTGAATAAATTGTGATTCATCCATACAGTGGAAACTGTTCAGCTAAGGGAGAGGAGATAGGAGATTTTAATTGTATTGATTTTGGAGAGATTGCCAGAATATGCTGTTTAAATAAAACAAGTTGGTACAGAATGGTATTTATTATGGTAATTTTTGTGTAAGGAGATATGAGGAATTATTTTGTATTGCTTATGTATAAATGTGCAAACTCTGGAAAACTAATGAAGAGAATAAAAAAAAAGGCTACTTACCTAGTAAGAACAGGACATGAGACTTATGTGCATACTTTTTCTTTTAATTGTGTTTTGACTTTTTAATTGTGTAAATATATTATTAACCCAAAATAATAAAATCAGTGTAAGGAAATAATGTCTTAAACAACTCTCATTAAAATTAAAATAGCATAAAATTTATATAGTGAAATAAATAGTTTTAAGTATAATTTACCATGTGTTTTATTGTTGGTGAACATTTGGGTTATTTTCATTTACTGTCTCATGTCAGTAAGAAATGGCAAATGGAAATAAATGCCTGGCAAAGTGCTTTCTTAAAGATTGCAGCCAAGAAAACTCTATAGTTCTGCTCTGTAACACATGAGGTCGCCATGTGTTGGGGACCAATTTGACGGCAGCTAAAACCTAAGGTATTTGACTGCTAACCAGAAGGCTGGTGGTTCAACCCCACCAGCCACTCCTTGGAAGGAAGCTTTGGGCAATCTCTTCTATAGTGATAACCGCCTTGGAAACCCAAGGAGGGGTCACTATGAGTCGGATCTGATTTGACGGCAGTGAGTTTTTTTTTAATGACAGTAATGGACAGTGAGTATATCTTTCAGTACAAAAGTACAAAAGTTTCCAGCAGATTTATACCCAGGAGTGATATTGTTGAATCTTAGCATGTTTGAGTTTATGGGGTAATACCAAGTAGTTTTTCAAAGTGTGACACTGTTTTCCATGTTGTACTTAAATACACTTTCAACATCAGTGAAAAAGAGAGTACTTACTGCCTCACATCCTTGCCAACCCTCATTAAATATTTTAACTGTTCATTTTCTGAGCTGCTTAGTCATTTTTCATTAATTATATGCAATGCTTAAATAATCCAAAATAGATTGTTCTTTTTCACTTTTTAGGTGTCTTTTGAGTCTTCTACCCCAATGGATCAGGAAATCAGAAGCCTTCGAGAGAAGCTTAATAAACTCAGGCAACAGAATGCTTGTTTGGTCTCACAGAATCATTCTTTAATGACTAAAATAGAGTCTATCCATTTTGAATTAACACAGTCCAAAGCAAAAGTATGTATCTTGAAGTGATGATTATGTCAACAAAATAATTGTAATCATTTTAAGATTTATAGATAGAAAAATATTCCTTGAATTGCCTTAATGTATTATATATGGTATTTTTATTATGATAATACAGTATCATATGCATGGAATGAGAATTTTATGTGAATTTTATATCTGAAAGTGATTTAGGATAACTTATATAGTCTTGAGGGACCCTGGTGATATAGTGGTTAAGTGCTCAGCTGCTAACTGAAAGGTTGGTGGTTCGAACCATCAACTGGGAGAAAGATGTGGTAATCTGCTTCCATAAAGATTTGCAGTCTCTGAAACCCTATGAGACAGTTCTACACTGTCCTGTTTTACCACTGTGAGTCAGAGTCAACTTGATGACAGTGGGTTTGTAGATAAATGGATGAATCAGAGCTTTTGAAAGTCTTAAGATTACCTATTTGTGCAGTTTTAGTTCTTATACAGAGGAAGTAAAACTTATCTTCCTTTTTTAAATAATACATTTTTATTGTTGAATCTGTAAAAAATTTTTAAACTTTCAAAAATCAGAAAAAGGAGGAAGAAAATCACTCAGTTTCCACCATCCAGAAATCATCATTGTTGGTTTGTTATATAGTTAAATTCAAACTGTTTGAATAATTTTGGGTTTTCCTATGTTTTTTACTTTATATTTTCTGGTGTAGTTACATAGCTTTTTCCAATTTTTTTTTAATGATAGTATAACATTTCTTATCTAGGAGCTCTGGTAGCATAGTATCTAAGGCACTTGACTGCTTACCAGAAGGCTGGCAGTTCAAACCCACCAGCCACTCCTTGGAAGGAAGGTTGGACAATCTACTTCCATAGTGATACTGCCTCGGAAACCCAGGGAGGGGTCGTTATGAGTCACATCTGACTCAACGGCACATAACAACAACAACAATAACATAACATTTCTTTATGTGGTTATAGAATAATTTAGTTAATAATCCTTCCATTTTAGTGTTTTTTCTATTTTTTGCTGAATAATTAGTATTATATAAAAACTATTTGAAAAAAAACAAAATATCCAGTAATAGTGGGGTTACACGAGGTAAATGCAAAGTTGACCTTTATGCAACTGTTCTGAGTTTAAATGATGTAATAATATATGTCAAGGCACTGAGAACAGTTTCTGCACATAACACTCAAAAACTGTTATTTCATATTTCATATGGTTAGTGGTAGAAAAATGTTTGTTGTTGCTGTTATGTGCCATCGAGTCATACCCGACTCATAGGAGCCCCTCCTTGGGTTGCTGAGGTAGTATCACTATGGAAGTAGATTGCCCCATCTTCCTTCTGAGGTGGCTGGTGGGTTTGAACCGCCAGCCTTCTGGTTAGCAGTCAGGTGCCTTAGGCACTATGCTACCAGAGCTCCTAGAAAAATGTTACAGAATTATATGTATGTATGTATATACACATGCATATATATATATAATAATCAGGAGCTCTGTACTTCGGTATATATATTATGTTTTAACTGGAATTATGAGAGACCTTCATCATCTTTTTCTATTTTTCATACAAAACAAAGTTCTATTGGAGATAATTCCAAATCAAGGAGAAAAAAATACTTTAATGAACGTAAAACTTAAGTGTTTCATTTTTTTTTCTTCCTGTAAGATAGATTTCCAGAGGCAGAATGACCAGATCACAGGGAAAGAATGTTTTTCAGGCATTTATTGCATTCTTTGTACTCAGTATTGTCTTTTTCTTTCTTCTTTTTTTTTTTTTTTTACTATTTTGAGGGGAAAGTGTTTTGTTTCTCTTATAACGTTTAACTTTTCAGTTTACTTGTGTACTTTTTTTTATATTTGTTTGTGATTGGTCTGTATACCTTTTCTAGTATTAGTTTTTCATATCTTTAATTGGTTCTCTACTACAGGGACACTATCTTTTTAAAATCATAGAAAAACAAAAACAAACAAACAAACAAAAAACAACTCACTGCCATTGAGTCGATTTTGACTCATAGCGACCCGCTTTGGGTTTCTGAGGCCGTAGATCTTTACGGAAGTAGATTGCCCAGTCTTCTGTGGAGTGGCTGGTAGGTTTGAACTGCCAAACTTCTGGGTAGCAGTCAAATGCCTTGGACACTATGCCTCCAGATGCTTAATTGTTTCAAATCAAAAGAGATAAAGAGAGAGTTTAATAATGAATAACGTTTTGGTCACTTTAAACCCAGATATTTATTTCCTATCTGAGCTATTGGTGTTGCTCGTGTGCCACTGCTGGAAGTCTTTTGCTGAGATTCCTTATTGTATTAATCAGTATATTCAGAATTTACCTTTTGGTAGTGTTTGTAGTTGTATCTCTGGAGCCTGGCCTTCTGTTCTTTCCGAGCTTATTGCCTATAGGCTTGCTGTTCAGCTGCCATCTTGGGATTTCTTTTCTTTATCTTTCCTACTAGTACAGGTCAAACCACTTTGGTTTTTCCTCTAAATCTTTATGTGCTCTGGTATTTCCCATCTTCTTGTGTTTTAGTTACATTTTTTAGATTTCCTCAACATTATATTCAACATATGTATCGAATCTTTATTTTGGCTCTCTTTTGTTTCTTTGTTTTACAAAGCTTTTCTTGTTTGCTGATTGTTCTTTGCTTTGTATTTAATGACATCCAGATACAGTATCCTTTCTTATCTCTGAAGATTTAATGATTTTTTTGAGTGTGCATGTTTGCCTTGTTTGCTCCTAGTTAATTTTTTCTTTACGATCTCTGATGACAGTGCTTAAGGCATTTGACTGCTAACCAGAAGGCTGGCGGTTCAAACCCACCAGCTGCTCCTCAGAAGGAAGGTTGGGGAATCTACTTCTGTAGTGATATTGCCTCAGAAACCCAAGGAGGGGTTGCTATGAGTTGAGTTGAGTTGACTTTTTTCTTTATTTTGGTCTCTGACTTTCATGTTATGAACTTTCTTCAGGTGTTAGTCTTTTGGTTATTCCCAAACACTATTTGGAAATTCTGTGTGCAGTGGTGAAATTTGTTGTCAAATGTGCTTCATTTTGGATTACAGCTGGGGAGGTGGTTCTTCTGCAGGGAGACACCACTCCATACCCAACCAGTAGCATCATGTGAGACATTTTTCTTAGCACCTGTTGAATTTCTGCAGCAAAGAATTATTTGTTTCCCACCTTTCAGATAGCCCTGAATGAGATGGAGTAGGAAGCTGGGCACTGACTATTTTCTATTAATCCTTCTGTTTATAGCTCCACTTCATCTTGCCTATCATTGTACCTAGTGTCCCAGAATCTCAAGCCTCTCATGTCTAATTTCTCCAGATTTTAAACCTTCTGTCTTTTCCCTGGTAGGAAGGCACCTTGCTCCTGGTGTTTTAGGAGTAGAAGAAAGAGGGCTGGCTGTATCTAGAGGTTTTGAACTATATACCTGGTTTATTCATCCTGGACCTTACCCCTGCCCTGTATTGCATCTTATGCCTCCAAGGTCTAAGCTTTGTCAGCTTAATTCTCTTGTTAATGTCTTCCACACCATTTAGGTCATGGACTGCTGAAGTAGTTGTACTCTCATCATCTTCCAGGTTGTTGGATTACTATGCTTTTCTGTATTTTTTAGCATATATCCAAGTTTTTAAATCATAAAAAAAGGTCAAAAAGTATTTTCTTACGTTTTTTAGTAGTTTGATATTTTACATTTGATTCTTTATTTCACAGGAAATTTATCTTCCTAGGTTGTATTAGAAATTTAATTTTTTCCTAAATACCTAACGAATTATCACAGATAATAAGTTATGGATAATGGCAGGAGCTTAGATGCTAAGAGGTATCTTGTAGTGATAATGTGCCCATGTAAGTGTTTGTTGAAAGACTAGCTAGGATGAGCTTTATTTACATTGACCAATGTTTGAGCATTGTCCTATTTAACCTTGTCATCTGACAGTAAAAAACTAAAGACCAAGTAGGTTAATTAATTTTCTGGAAGTGTTTTATTTTTAATTAACATTTTATTGTGATTTGGGTAGAAATTTACAGAATAAATTGGTTTTCCATTTAATAGTTCAAACATACTTTGTTTCATGACACTGTTTATAATCCCCATAATGTAACAGCACTCTTCCCACTTCTTCCTAGTGGCTACTATTTCCCTTTATCTTTCTTTGCTATCCATTCCTGCCTTCTGAGCAAATGCTGACGTTTTAATCTCTTACATTTGGTTGTTTGAAGAAGTGCACACCTTCCTGGTGTTATTGGTCACCTCATACGTCTTTATATTGTTTGGCTGAAAAGTGAGCACCTTGGGAGTGAGTTCAGTTCTGGGCCTGAAGGGTGACTAAGGTCTGTAGTCTCTGGGTTCCAGCAGTCTCTATCAGACCAGCAAGCCTGGTCTTGAAAGTAAATGTTTTAAAATTATTTTTATGTTTTAGGTTTCTATACTTGAGTCTGCTCAACAACAGGCAGCCAATGTCCCAATCTTAGAAGAACAGATTATAAATTTGGAAGCAGAAGTTTCAGCCCAAGATAAAGTTTTGAGGTAAAGATACTTTTTTTTTTTA